AGGGACAGAACAGGCTAAAATATGTTGGTGGTAATCAGAGAACTTTAAAGCTTGAGATAAGTGATGTCAATTTGTATTTACTGAAAGAACGAACCGAAGCTCTATGCCCCTGGCTAAGGGGTCATGCTTATGACCTACACTACCACATTAATGGTACATCGCCTAAAAATTACATGCCCATTATAAGTGATATTGATGTAATGGAGATGCTTACAAATTCTTCTGGTTCCCATAGAATGGAGGTTGTTGTTGTTGTGAAAGAGCTTGAAGAAAATATGGGTATGACTTGTGATAGCGACCATATTGAGATGCGTGATTTAAGTGGCAACATAACGACAATCAATGATGGTTTAGTTGGTGGAATTTCTGATGGTGTTATTAGAAGTCCTGATTTAGAGGATAATTCACTAGTTGTTGGATCGCGTTTTGAAGATTCATGCAGTTTCAAACAAAGCATTCGTTCCAATGCAATAATACATAACTTTGATATCAAGATTAAGGCAAGTGACAAAACACGAGTTATTGCTACATGCTCATATCGTGGTTGCCCTTGGAGGATAAGAGCTTCGTTATGTTCCGATGGGCATTCTTTTGAAGTGAAAAAATTGCATCCGACACATTTATGTCCAGGGGTTAATAGAGCTGGGAACAAGCAAGCAACAACAAGTTGGGTTGCACAAGAAATCCAAGAGATTGTCAAAAGAAATCCTGATATCACACCAAAGAACATTAGTAATACCTTGGAGACTACTTATGGTTTGAGTTTACCTTACATGAAAATATGGCGATCAAGGGAACTAGCAAGAGATCAAATGTTTGGATCAATAGATGATAACTATAAGTGGGTTCCAACGTTAAGGTCTGAATTACTCAGAAGAAATCCAGGCTCTCATATTACATATCAATGTGACAACAACAACAAATCATTCAAGAGATTCTTTGTTAGTTTTAAAGTTTGCATTGATGGTTTCCTCTCTGGTTGTAGACATTTAATTGGTGTTGATGCCTGTCATTTGAAATCAAAATATTTAGGTGTTCTATTATCTGCAAATTGTCTTGATGGGAATAATGGCCTCTTCACAATTGCAGTTGCTGTTGCTGAATCTGAATCGAAGAAGAGTTGGGAGTGGTTTCTAAAGAATTTGTCAGAAGCATTTAGTTGTGAAGTAGAACAATTGGCCTTCATATCTGATATGGAAAAAGGGCTTGGTGAAGCAATAAGGGTTGTTTTTCCAAAAGCCGAACATAGGGTGTGTATGAGACACCTATGGAAGAACATTAAGAAATTCTTCCGCTGTGCAGATGGGCAAAAATTGCAGAAGTTGGTTTGGACAGCTGCAAATAGTTTTAGTGAGCACAAGTTAAATTTGCTGTCTTGGCATTCTCTAAGTTTCCGAACACATCAAGCATTCCAGAATATAAGTAAAATTGATGCCTTGGCATTCAATCAAACATGTCACACCCAACTGTTAATTTTCAATGCTCGCCAAGCTCATCCGGCCAAAGAAAACAAAATGAAAATGATACAAAAAAAAATTGAAAATGAAGGCAAGCTCATCCGGCCAAAGAAAACAAAATGAAAATGATACAAAAAAAAAATTGAAAATGAAGGCAAGCTATTCTGACCAAAAAAATGAAAATGAATACAAGCTCATCCGACAAAATGAAAATGAAGACGATGCATATCCTTGCCGAAACAGAGAAATGAGAAGCTTGTGGAAAAAAAAAAAATCTGAAGAGAAAAAGATGATGCAGGGTAAACAATACCTTCCTTGCCGACCTAGATAAATTTAAAAAAAAAAATAGAACCCTAAAATCCCAGGCAAGGTTTTAGACGGGGCAGACGATGCATACCTTGCTCCTGCGAAGTGATCGAAG